TAAAATCTTTTCCAAATCTGAGAGTCTTCTAAACCATGAGAGTCAGAGTTAAGAACTCAGATCCAAATAACTGGATGTTTAGGAACCTTAACTTTAATAATGGCTACAGTTTCCACTTACTTTTCTCCTGGGCTCCTTGGAGCCAGATTTTGAATTTGTGTATTTTAAGAGTCTACACTCTTTCTCATTCCTCTTCACCTGGATACTTCCTACTCTACCTTCAAAGAGCAACTTAAACACTACCTCCTCCAAGAATCCCATCCTCTCTCTGCCTAACACTAACCTACGTGCTTCACATCACCCCATCCTTCCTGACCATGCCACTTCTCACACCACAGTGAATTAACTGTCTGTGTCCTTTACAATCACCTCCCAACTCCTGTGCTCATTAGACTGAGGGCTCTTTAAGGACTGTATCTCCATTGTAGATATTTTCATTGTATCTATTATGAGCCACACACTTTTTTAGGAACTGAGACAGATTCACAGTCAAGGTTCCTACCCTTGAAGAGCTAGAATTCTATATGAAGACAGACAACACAAAAGCAGTTGTTCTTTGTGGAAGTCAAATGCCAAGCATGGTGGTGTTGTTATGTGCCATCGAGTTGGCCCTGACTCATAGCGACCCTTCCTTGGGTTTCCAAGGTGGTATCACTACAGAAGTAGATTGGCCAACCTTCCTTCCAAGAACATGGTAAGATAATATGTAATAAAACCCAAACCAAACCTACTGCTGTCAAGTAGATTCCAACTCATATATGTTTGTATAAATTATATATTTATATAATTAATGAGCTCTGGTGGTACAGTGCCTGTTCTGGTTACCTAGTGCCACTCTGACAAGCATATACTACAATTGGGATGGCTTTAAAAAAAAAGGAGTTTATTCTTACAATTTGGACACTTTAAGTTTGAGTTCAAAGTGCCAGACTCTAGGGGCTGGGTGAAAGCCCCTCAACCTTGGGCTTCAGCTCTGCCTCTTGTTCCTGGCCCACTGAAGCTGGAGACATTTCTTCACTCAGTTGTTGGCTGCTGAGAGTGACAAGCCCAAAGATAACAAGTAAAAAGGCACAGTCCCAATGTTACCAAACCACATGGCAGGCCATTAATTTAAGTCTATCGAAAGTCCCAAGGTCGGCAGAGTATGGCAGGTTGCTGAACAGCAACATGGCTACATGCAGGGTCCAAGCATGCCATAAGCTAGAGACCATTCTCCAAGGTTTCTCCTTATATAGAGGAAGCAGACCACATCCCTAAGGCAGTTACCTAGCTGCTCACAGTAGAGTACACCATGGAGTTGATTACCAGTCTCATCATGGGGAATACTACATCCAGTTGCCCAGCCACTCAACTAGGCCCAGCCAAGTTGACACACAAACTTAACTACCACAGTGCCTAACGTACTGCTAACCAGAAGGTTGGTGGTTCAAACTCACCAGCCACTCCATGGAAGGAAGATGGGGCAATCTACTTCCATAAAGATTTACCTCAGAAACCCCAAGGGGGTCACTATGAGTCAGAATCAACTGGATGGCCGTGGGTTTGGTTTGGTTTTGGTTTATTTATATAATTAATGTAGTCTAATATATTTATAGGAGCCCTGGTGGTGCACTGGTTAGGTGCTCAGCTGCTAACCAAAAGGCTGGTGGTTCAAAACCACCAGCCACTCTGCAGGAGAAAGATGAAGCAGTCTGCTTCTGGAAAGATTATGTGGCCTTGAAAACTCTGTGGGGTAGTTCTACTCTATCTTAGAGGTCACTGTGAGTTGGAATTGACTCAACAGCGATGTTTATTCTTTGGGAGGGGGGGTTAATATCTTTATAAAGTATAAATATACCAAACCAAAACCAAATTTACTGGCATCAAGTCTATTCGTACTCATAGCGACCCCCATTGGGTTTCCAAGGCTGTAAGTCTTTACAGAAGTAGATTGCCCCATCTTCCTTCTGTGGAGCACCTGGTGATTTGAACCACTGGCCTTCTGGTTAGCAGCCAAATGCCTTATCCACTATGCTACCAGAGCTACTTAAAGTATATATACATGTACATATATACACACAACCACATACACACAATAGGTATATGTTTGATGATTAAACCAAATAATACATAATAATGAATAAATTCTTCAATTTCATCTAGCCAGTAGTTTTTGGCATATTTACCAGAATCTAAAACTTTGGTGTCTCTCTCTGCCACTTACAAAATTTTGTTGCTTGGAATTTGAATTTCCACTCTCAGTTGACCTCCCCTCAATGCAACCCACCAAACAATATTTCTGAGCACCAGAAAATGAAGCTCATAAAATGTATTACTGATTTTTTTTTTTTTTTTTTTAATTCAAACTTGCAACTAAAGAAGAAAACCCTCCCCCTGTCTTTGCCTTCCAGGGCAGTGCCAGTTCTTCTCAGTCGCCATTTGTTCAGATGCCAGGTGAGTGCTTTCCTTCAATGAGCAATTAATTCATTTTCTTTTGAGTTTAAATTAGACGTTAGGGCTTCTATTCTTATATAACAACCTTCGGCATTGAATTAATTCTGTTCAATCAATTGTGAAAAACATGAAAAGGGCAAAATGCTGTGTTAATTTTTTTTAACAATACTTTCAAAAAAATACATCAAATTAAGAAATAATATTTAAAATACAAAACCAATGAAGAAAAACCTTATTCAATCATGCCTGAATTTAGAATTCAGTGTGTCTTGAAGGCAGCCATTTTGATCCCTCACCCAGAAGTTTATTGGGCAAAGACAATAGCAGTTAGGTATTTGATATCATTTGAAATGTTTCAAGTTGTGACCCTGTGATTTGGTAGATAGGTTATACTCCTGCTTTAGAACAGGAAGGGGAAGAGAACTGAGAGCAGAGGGTCACTACCATTTCATGGGTGCTCACTATGTGTCAGGTACATAGTAGTTTATGTTGATTTAAACACATATGTCTCCATACATGCTGCTGTGGGAATGGAAAAAATGGCATTTTTCATAAAAGTGTTGGGGACCCTTGTACATACACACACGTACACACACCCATACACAATACCTTTCAGATCTCAAACTCAGAAGTGTCAGGCCTTCTTAATCTGTGTGTGTGTGTGTGTGTGTGTGTGTGATGGACAAACAAAGGAATAAAACTATATAAGAGCCACATATCTGGATGTCTCTAAATTTGTGTCCCCTATATGGTATTTTCTGTTATCATCATCTGGTTGCTTCTGCTCCCTTCTATAAAGGAAATTTTCTCTTTCTCCCTTCTCTTCTTTTTCTCTTCCTTTTAAGGAGAAAAATACATATTACGAGGACAGAGGCTTTTTTCTTCACAGTTTTTATTTGGAAACTGGAAATAAAGATCACCTGGAAGCCTTATTTACGTATTCTTCCTTTTGTTCTCAGCCTGAACCACTTCTGTGGATCTAAATACATGACATGAAATAGGGACCTTATTTATTGACTTTCGTTTCTACTTGCATAGATTGCTTTCTAGGGAAGTATGCTTATGATGAAAAACTTTAACTGTACTCTGCAAATTCAGGAGCAGATTAGAAGTTTAAGGCTATAGAATTTAAGACAAACATGGAGTGAGTAGAATTATGCTATAGGTTTTAAGGGGAATTTTGATTTCTTCTTCTGATAAATATATTTATATATAGTTGTTAAACACAATATTATACTACTGGGCTTACTGAAAATGTACAGAAAAAGCTCTTACCCCATGGAGTTTGCAGGTCAGTTGGAAAGATGGTTATGTAACTCAGGTGAAACAGTAGTGAGCTGAGTATGAACCGCTGCATCATGTGGTGAGAATCAAAGCCCTGGGTATGCATGCATCATACATAACTGAGTCGTGATAGCAAGCTCTGAGTGGTCCTCGTACTTGGTACTTGGAGGGAGCCTCAGGAAGACAAAACACTTCCAACTTCTTCCCACTCATCCCTTCTGCGGCCTCAGGGGGGTGTTCTCAGCTAATTAGAACACACTTGCCACCAACTGGAATACTTTTTATTAAGGCACCAATTACATACACCTTGAGTCTATGCCCCTAATCACTTTATAAATAATGATGTGTTTCCTGCAATAACAAAACTACAGGGACAGGAAGTGTTCAGCAAACACATATCTTCTCTTTTGGAACCATTGCACTGGCCTTACCTTAAATAATACTCTTCTCAGTTTCAGCTTCTTTCTCTGTTTCCAACAAAGGAAGCGTCTAATACCGGTCACACTCTTACCAAACTTTCAGTTACCTGGTGAGCTGAGCTAGGAGCTCTGGAGGAAGTGTGCCTAAGGCATTGACTACTAACCTGACGGTTAGCAGTTCAAACCCACCAGCCACTCCGCGGAAGGAAAACTGGGCAATCTACTTCCGTAAAGATTTAACGCCTTAGAAACCCAAAGGGAGTCACCATGAGTCGGAATCCACTCGGTGGCAGTGAGTTTGGTTTGGTTTTTGGTGAGCTGGGTGCGAGATTCATTGTGGCCACAAGAGGGCAGCAAATAACACAAGACTCTTCAAAGGCAAGTAGCTCAGGTTGTGTAGTGCCTAAGGCGTTTGACTGCAATTGAGAAGGCTGGGGGTTCAAACCCACCAGCCACTCCACGGAAGGAAGACGGACAATCTTTTAAATCCAACCCCTTCCTAGTACAGTGCCTGACACAAATCAATACATTCATGTATTCATACACACATTCACAATTAATGTGTGTCGAGTAAGTGAATGATTGAAGGAACAGTTATTGTACCACTTTAAATGAACTCTTCCCCAAAGGCAGAGTGTACTTTAAACAGATTAACTACTTGGGTTGGAACAATTAAAACAGGTAAGCAGGAATACTTTATGCAATTCAACACACTCATCTATTTAAATTTTGTCCTTAGTATCAAGCCTGCGTGAGTAACCCCATTTCCCACGCGGAGAAATACTTCCGCAAAAGCAATGCCCTCACCTCCCTATGAGAATTTTTTGCTCATTTGTTTTTCATTTGGCAACAGGTTCACCGGTGATGTCAGGTTACTATGGTGTCAGAAGATCTTTCTTATCTGACTCAGATTTCCACAACACTAAACAGTTTTCAAATGACGTCTACACCTCAAGCGTGGCTAAGCCCTTTTCCTGTGAGTCGTCCACAGGCCAGGGCTACCCGGGCCTCCTGGATTCCTACTTTCCGGAGCCCTACGGAGACTACCGGCCTGCAGCCCTGACTACCAACACGGGTTCCATGTTCAGCACCTCGCCCCTGCCACCGCTCCTGCCGCCTCCCTTCACCAGCGACCCTTCACACTTTGTATTCGTGAGTATGCAGGAATTCCATATTTAGAGAGAAACCTAAGGTCGGAGATGGCTTGGATCCAACCCGAGCAATACAGTTGGCAACTAGATTGAAGCCAGGTCTGGCTTCCCCTGGAGCTCCCGGAAGCTGCACTGTAGCTGCCACACAGACGCTAGGACCACCTGCTTCCCTAGCATACACGCGGGAGGTAGTCTTCCTCAAAGATCCCCGATCATAACTAGAGGCTTATCTATGTCTAGTAGCCCCCTATGACAATTGGTTTTAAATTGCTGAATGAGCTCTCACAGCTGGCGATGGAAACTGCTATAGTGAATAGAAACTGCGCATCGCCCTACCCCACCTCAAGTATAGTGAGATTCAAAGAATGCCTGACATAGTGCAGTGTAAATAGTAAAATGCTGTATAAATGTTCGTTTTATTGTTCTTATATAGCATTTCACTTATTTAATGTTGTTTTTAGGAAAAGAAAATCTTAATATATACAAAACCAATTGCCATCAAGTCAATTCCAACTCATGGCAACATCATGTGTGTCAGAGTAGAACTGTGTTCCTTAAGGTTTTCAGTGGCTGACTTTTTAGAAGTAGATTGCCAGGCCTTTCCTTGGAGGCACCTCTGGATGGACTCCAGTCTCCGATCCTTTGTTTAGCAGCTGAGCACGTTAACAGTTTGCACCACCCAGGAACTCTTGGTGGCTACTGTTATTACGGGCCACCATGTCAATTCCAACTCCTGGCAACCTCATGTGTGTCAGAGTAGAACAGTCCATAGGATCTTCGATGGTTGATTTTCTGGAAGTAGACTATCAAGTCTTTCTTCCCAGGAGCCTCTGAGTGAATTCCAACCATCAACCTTTCCATTAACCATCTGTACCACTCAGGGATCTCACTCCCTTAATATAAATAAATAAAAAACCAAACTCACTACCGTCGAGATGGATCCAACTCATAGTGACCCCTCCTTGGGTTTCGAGGCAGTATCACTATAGAAGTAGATTGCCCAACCTTCCTTCTGAGGACTGGCTGGTGGGTCTGAACCACCAGCCTTCTGGTTAGCAGTCAAGTGCCTTAGGCACTACACCACCAGAACTCCTGTTGTTGTTGTTGTTATGTGCCATCGAGTCGGACCCAACTCATAGTGACCCCTCCTTGGGTTTCTGAGGCAGTATCACTATGGAAGTAGATTGTCCCACCTTCCTTCCGAGGAGTGGCTGGTGGGTTTGAACCGCCAGCCTTCTGGTTAGCAGTCAAGTGCCTTACGCACTATGCTACCAGAGCTCCTACCAGAACTCCTAGGGAATGTAATTCTAGAGTTGGAAGAAAACTAAAGCTTTCACTGCTGGTGTCGAAGCTCAGAGAGAAAGGCTGCCTGGTAACTAGGCTTTGGACAGCAGCTAGAGGACACGAAGCCTACTTACTCTGGAAGCCATGGCCCATAGTGGCCTGCATTGAGGAGGGAATCTGTCCACATCAGAGTATTACCTACAAAATAACCTTTCCATTCTCCCCAGAGGGACTCATGGGAGCAGACGGTACCTGATAGTCTCAGCCAGCCAGACCTCGTGCCTGCGGACGCCCTGCAAACCTTGCCACCCAGCACGAGTTGCCTGTCACAGCTTGAGTCGGGGAGTACCGCCCAGCATAGGAGCTCAAGCTGGGGGGCTACCCTGGCTGGGTCTCAGTCTTACTCGCTGCATGGCCTGGAGGAGCTGCACCACACGCCAGGGTACCCCACCCCATCTCCCTACCCCTTCACTCCTTTCATGACAGTGGCAAATGACCTAACATCCAAAGTGGTACCCCTCACAACAGATGAGGGGGCAGACGCCTCTTCCCTTCACGACTCTTCTCCATGGACGAAAGAAGATGGAGGCCTGGCGTGGGGGTCGTATGAATGCCACCGGGCCTACTGAAGGGGTGGATCAAAGGACTTCTACTCTGCTTTCCTTTATGTTGGGTTCTGTATTCCACAGACTATTAGAGGTGTGTTGGCACATTGAGAACTGGATTTTCAGGATAAGTCATAATGCCACCCTTTGTTAGTGGTCGGTGGTATTTATTTGTAATCCTCCCACCCCACACCACCACCCTGAAATACAACACAATGTTAATTAAATTGATGGGCCATGTTCTAGAAACCACCTTACAGTGAGGTCTTTTTCGAACTTTAGTAACCTGTTGCAATCTGAATCCTCTGTTATCCTCAAAATATCATTTTTTGCACTGATATTTTTCCTGAAATTACATTAAAAAGTTTGTGTGGAATCATAATACATACTGATGTTCCTGTTTGATTTTTCTGAGCTATGAACTATATGTATTCTTTAGTACAGAGAGTGTATTGGCTGTGGTACATAAAACAAAACTCATTTTATACCATGTGATTTTAAAGGGTGTCTTGGTTCTCTAGTGCTGCTATAACAAAACTACCACAAGTGAATGGCTTTAACTAAAAGGAATTTATTCTCTTTTAGTTTTGGAGGCTAGAAGTCCAAATTCAGAGTGCCAGCTCTAGGGGCTGGGTGAAGGCCCCTCGACCTTGGGCTTCAGCTCTGCCTCCTATTCCAGGCCTGCTGGAGCTGAAGGCTTTCTCTGATTCATGCAGCTGCTGGCTGCTGAGGCTGACAAACCCAAAACCAACAGGTAAAATGGCACAGTCCTAAGTTTAGCAGGCACCATGGCAGGCCGCTAGTTCAAGTCCAGGAAAAATCCCAAGATCAGCAGGCAACAATGCAGACCACTGAGATGAAGACTTGGCCAAATGCTGGATCCAGATGTGCCCCAAACTAGCTTTTTCCCAAAGCTGGGCATCACAAACAGTTAAGCCCAAAGCTTCTCCTTATATACTGCTCTGGGTGCCACACCCCAAAGGCAGCTGCCTTTTCACCGATGAACATCTCTCAGCAGATTCCACCATGGAAGTGATTACAATCTCATCAGGGGGAATAACTACATCCAGCTGCCCAGCCACTCAGAACCACAGCCCAGCCAAGTTGGCATACAACCTTAACTACCACAAAGAGTAAAGTGTTCTATACATTTCCCTCCTTGTGATGGCCAAGTAACAAATATGGTATCATATAGAAATGTTTTATTGTCATTATCATAGAACAAAGTCAGGAGACTAGGACTTCACAAATACAGTTTCAACTCTGCCCTAAAATCCAGGATGCCCCAAAATTGATCCAGTCCCCAAACAGCAAAGACCAAATTTTCCTTTGATCCTTGATCTTCCTTTTGTTAATGATATCCTTAATTAAACTAGACATTGTTTCTCTGATGACATAAACACACAGTGATCAGAGCAGAAGAATGAAATGGGCATTTTGTGGTCAAATAGGAATGCAGGTATTTGAAAGAAAACATAAAACACAGAACTAGGCTGGTGGCAAGAAACAACAAAGAACAGAGCAGCAAGCGGGCTTTGGAGGACATGGTGTGAGCCAGTGAGTAGGGTGACAAGCAGCATTCCTGACTATTAGAAAGAAGGCCTTGCTGGCAGCTCATTGGTCCAGAGTGTACAGTTCTTGTTGTTGTTACTGTTGAGTTGATTCTAACTCAGATGACCCTGTGTGTGCAGAGTAGGGCTGCTCCATAGGGTTTTCAGAGTTGTGACCTTTCAGAAGCACATCTCCAGACCTATCACCTCTGGGTGAGTTTGAACCACCAACCTTTCAGCTAGTAGTTGACAGCTTAACTGTTTGTGATGCCCAGGGACTCTTGAACAGCTCTTACTATGTATAAATGAAGAAACTGACATCTGAAGCATTAAACTACCTTGTGTAAGTTTGATTGTTATGGGTTGCTTTGCCAGTGAAGATCCCAAAGTAATTCCCACCGAGGAGCATCTGGCCTGCAGGTTACCTGCACCCTTCTTCCTAACTTTCTACCACCTTTATTTGCTTTACATCTCTTTGAGCCCCTCTGCTACCTCCTGACCTGATTCTTTCCCGCTCTCTTCTGGGTATGCAATGCTTTCCAGGTTGCCCAGAACTCCTCATGACACTCTCCTTCACATCCTAGCCTCTGTTACAGTGTCTCCTACTCTACCCCAGCTAGGTTGTTGTTTTCAGGTGTCTGTGAGTTGGTTCTGACTGAGAGCGACCCTATGTACAACAGAAGGAAACACTGCCCCGTCCTGCACCGTCCTCACAATCATTGTTACGTTTGAGCTCATTGTTGCAGACACTGTGTCAGTCCATCCGGTTGAAGGTCTTCCTCTTTTTCACTCACCCTCTATTTTACCAAGCATGATGTCCTTTTCCAGGGACTGGTCCCTCTGAATAACATATCCAAAGTAGGTGAAACAATATCTCACCATCCTCACTTCTAAGGAGCATTCTGGATGTACTTCTTCCAAGACAGATTTTTTTTTGTCCTAGTGGCAGTCCATGGTATATTAAATATTCTTCACCAATGCCATAATTCAAAGGCATCAATTCTTATTTGGTCTTCCCTATTTACTGTCAAGCTTTAACGTGAATATGAGGTGATTGAAAATACCGTGGCTTGGTGTGAGGTGCACTTTAGTCCTCAAAGTGACATCTTTGCTTTTTTTTTTTTTTTAAACACTTCAAGGAGGTCTTTTGCAGCAAATTTCCCCAATACAGTACATTGTTTGATTTCTTGTCTTGTACTTCTATGGGCTTTGCTTGTGGAAAATGAAATCTTTGGCAACTTCAATATTTTCTCCATTTGTCATGATGTTGCTTATTGGTCCAGTTGTGAAGATTGGTCCACCAATTGTCTGTGAGTTTGTTGTACTGTGGTAGCTTGCATGTTGCTGTGATGTTGGAAGCTATGCCACCAGTATTTCTGAAACCAGCGGGGTTACCCATGCTAGACAGGTTTCAGAAGAGCTTCCAGACTAAGATAGACTGGGAAAAGCGGCCTGATGATCCACGTCTAAAAGAACTGGCCAGGAAAAACCTTACCCAAGCTGGGTAACAGTCCAGGAATTAAAGTAAACGGATTCATTCACACTTAGAAACAAATCATTGATATTCCTCTTCTCCATGATTTTCAGGGTATTTTCTAATTATGCAAACTCAAATTTATGGAATGCCAGCAGAAATGCTTGCTTTACCTCACATCCTCAGCTCCCTCCTGGAGAGCATTTGGAGGAGAGCAGAAGATCGAGTTTGTGGTCCGCAGCTGCTGGACGTCACTCTCCCAAGTGTTCTGTCCTAAGCCCTCTCTCCTACCAGCTCCTTTTTGGCAGTCTAATCTTTAATTTGCCTAATACTTTTTTTTTCTACGTATAGGGACAATTTCCACTATGGGAAAGAGGGAAAAAGGAAAACCAAAATGGTTGCTATCAAGCCAATTCTAACTCATGGTGACCCCATGTGTGTGAGTAGAATTGTGCTCCATAGGGTTTTCATTGGCTGATTTTTCAGAAGTAGATCACCAGGGCTTTCTTCAGAGGCACCTGTGGGTGGACTTGAACCACCAACCTTGTGGTCAGTAGCTGAGCCTTTTACCATTTGCATTTGCTCCACCCAGGAGAGAAGAGCTGCACTTCATTAAGTCTAGTGTGACTCAGCTCCTCCACTCTGGCTTCCAGCTTCCTTGGTAGATCTTCTGTCATCCAGTGGTCCCTCACACTTGGATAGTGGGCCCCTTCATCAAAAAGAGGGGCTCTGAGACTGTTTCTCTATCAAGGATCTTTGCCCGTGTCTCAGAGTCATTTTTCTGGATTAGCTGTATAAGATTTACAATAATCACAGTCATCGACTGCTTATCTATTAAGTAGCACATAACACAATTGTGGTTGTGTAAATCATAAATACATGTCCAAATAATTTTGACTTTTGCTTGATTATAGCCCTAAATGTCAGGCATGCTCATTCCTCTTAGCTGGCTGTTATCCACTCATGTGTTATGTTCATCTCCTAACAATCTGAGGATGTCCTGCCTCTCAGTTAGAGCTGAGCAACTACACGTGAGCTCAGAGAGTTCAGTGAGAGAGGGTTACAATCTTAAAGTATCCAATCCCTTTCATAGTGTTTGACAAATTAATTTACATAAAAAAGGAGACAGACAGACTCAGGCCCACACTCTGCTGGTACCCATTTCAGTTACCAAAAAACCAAACCAGACTCACTGCCATGGAGTTGATTCCTACTCACAGCAGCCCCCATTGGGTTTCCAAGGCTATAAATCTTTGTGGAAGTAGATTACATCATCTTCCTCTCAGAGAGCAGCTGGTGGGTTTGAACCACCAGCCTTCTGGTACACAGCCAAATGCCTTACCTACTAAGCCACAAGAGCTCCTTGGAATTTACCATACTTCATTTAAAAAAAGTTAAACCAAGCTGCAAAATTATGACCTGGGAATTAATTATATTTCCCTGTGTCATTCAAAGGAGATCTGGTAGCATAGTACCTAAGGCACTTGACTGCTAACCAGAAGGCTGGCCGTTCAAACCCACCAGCCACTCCTCGGAAGAAAGGTTGAACAATCCTACTTCCGTAGTGATACTGCCTCGGAAACCCAGGGAGGGGTCGCTATGAGTCGGGGCCGACTCGACGGCATATAACAACACAACAAATGTCATTCAAGCAGTTGCTGTCAAGCTGATTCCAACTCTTGGCAACCACATGTGTGTCAGAGTGGAACTGTGGTCCACAGAGTTTTCAGTGGCTGAATTTTCAGAAGTAACTGCCAGGCTTTCCCTCCAAGGTGGCTCTGGGTGGGCTCAAACCTCCAACCTTTCAGTTAGCAGCCAAATGCATTAACCATTTGCACCACCCACAGACTCCACTTCTCATTCAATAGTCACTATTTTCTCCCACCTGCTGGTATCTTTCTATAATAATGCACAGTGCCAGCATGAACTGCACATTCTCTTCTCTCTCCCCTTCCTTAAACCTGATATACTCTGACTCACAGCTTTCCTGGGAAAGCCAG